GATAGAGAAGCGGGGAAGAGGGGGCGCCGCGCGGGGGAAGAGGGGGGGGGAGCGGGGGCGGCGCGGGGGAGGGAGGGGGAAGGCGTGTATGTTGTGTAGGGGCGCGGGGAGGCGACAGGAGGCAGCGGTATTATGGGAGGGGTCAGCTGCCTCTGGAAGGCACCAAGGGGACAATAGTCAAACCAAGGTTTATGTAACTTCTTCCTTCGCGAGCTGTGCCACAGTGAAATGGAACTACTATGTCTCTGCGCCCTCGCCCTCGCCCTCGCCCTCGCCCTCGCCCTCGCCCTCGCCCTCGCCCGCGCCCTCCGCCGCCGCAACCTGGACGGAGGCTGCCTGCGGTCGATCTGCTCGTTGAAGAGGGACGGGCACAGTGACGGCACCAACCGAAGGTCCTTGCATGGCGACCATGGCGCACCATTTGGGTCCTGCGTCTGGTCGCAGCTGGTGCGCCCCCACTTGTCCTGGGTGGAAGGTGGGTATGGATTTGACATATTTTGAGCCGCCAAATCCCCCCAAATGCCCCAAGCGCAGGATGGATTCCTGCAGAACTTGCTTTCCGAGGTTGGGTGGGTGCATGCCGCCAGGACGGGGCATGTAATCTGCTGGAGCGTAATTCTCGCAATGCGCGTATCTGAATATGTCTCTGGCTCCGCCGAAAGAGTCATGGCCTCGCTGTCGGTGGTGCAAGGTGGGGACGGACTGGAAAGCACACGCGGAAGTAGCATGGCGGCGAGGGGCCACCGCACTGTGCCCATTTGATGGGGCATTGCCCTGGAGCCGACACGAGAGAGAACGACTTTTCGCGCGCGGCTCGCCGGAGCGCTCGACCGCAGGGCCGTGCACTGGGACGGGTGGTCGGGTGCAGTACTCTAAGCTAAAAGTACGTACAATTGAACGAAAATGGGGAGGAGCGAAAATTTCAATCTTTTGCGCACGCTGCGCCGCCCGTCGGCTACGTACAATTGAGAGAGAAACGAAAATGGGGAGGAGCGAAAATTTCAATCTTTTGCGCACGCTGCGCCGCCCGTCGGCTTCGAGGCAGCATGGCGAAAGGCTGCGATAACGTTTGCTCAGCACATCCAGCCCGACATGAGCGAGGCCAAGAAGAAGGAAGGAAGGAATTACAGGAAGGCCTCGCTTCTACCACTGATCCAAAACCGCCGCTTGCGCGCTGGGCTGGCCCTTCAACGCATCCCTCGGTTGGGCGTGCGTCCAGCGTCTACTATGCAACTTGGAGCACTTGGAGTGCAGTCATTAACCTCACATCCAGGGCCGGGGAGCTGATAAGCGCACCCAGCGAGCCGGATGATCGGTATCGGGCTACGGGCTAGAGAGCCCTGACCCCTAGCTAGGGGGGGTGCGCGCAAAAACAAACTCTCTACTATGTCGCGCCAGCACCGATGAGCTGTAGTGAGCGCAGGTTCAGAGGCCGCGCCATTCTGCTAAATTCTGAAGGGTGTCCAGGCGTACCGTGATCCCGCCCTGAGGTTGGCCATTGATTGGTCGCATATGGCATTGCTAAAATCGGCCCCGTTTTGGCTTTCTTTTTTTGCAAATGTCCGGGGCAGGCACAATCCACTCCCTTTGCTGCCACTCATAAAATCGTTGGGTCGCTTCAGTGTCCCCCCGTGGGCCGACCCTCCGATTTTATGAGAAGAGAACAAAGGGAGTGGGCACAATCCGTCCGTCCGGTCCTTGGCTATCCCACAGCAAACATTAGAGTTACGTACTGAATGAAATCGGAAATATCCCTTCTTTCACAACGCAGCCAGCGAGAGTGGAGGGGGGGGCCTGGTGTGAATGAAAGCGTCTTGGGGCCGGGGTTGTGTTTTTGTGTGAATGAAAGCGTCCAACGCTCGATCGCAAACAGCAAAGTTCGGCCGGCTCGCGAGATAGTAAGTGGCCTGGGCGTGGTCCGCTCCATCTGTCGCAGACATGCCGAAGAGTGCGGGGCACTCGACGCCAGAGAAGAAGAAGGCCTCGCTGGCAACCATCCGCAAGAAGGGGCCAGAAAAGACAGGGCTGCCCACATCCATCGACGCCATCATTCGGTTCATGGACGCACGGGAGCCAGGAGCGAACTACCACACGCGGCAGGCTGACTCCAGGGGGGGTGTCTCGACCACTCGTGGGAAACTACGGACCTGGGCAAGGGCAAATCCGGCGCTCCCAGGTGCGTACTTTGCGCTTACCGGCAGCTGGGCGCCGCCAGACGACGAGGCACTGGAGGCTATCATCGTCAAGATCAAGGAGATCATTGCTGCGAAAAAGAAGTAGCCGGGGGGACCGTTGAGTGTTTTCTAGTTAGAGCAATATGACAATACTGTTGGTCGTGCCATCGGGGATGGGGCGTGCGTGGAGAAACACACCACGCAGCTCTCTCTCTCTGGTCTCTCTCGCGCGCGCCCGCTAATCGTCCACCTCCGCGCTCACGGTGTGATCGTCCGGATCAACCGCAGGCACCGCTCGCGCCTCTCGCCGCGCCGCCGCCGCGGCCTCCTCGGCCGCCTCGGCCTCCGCCGCAACCTCAAACCACGCCTTCGGCGCCGCCTCCGCCTCTGCCGCCTCTGCCGCCTCCGCGGTGGCAGGCGGGGGCGGCGCCTCTGCTCGACGGGCCGCCTCGTCGTCGGCGCCCTCGACCGCCTCCTCGCCGCAGTCGGTGATGACCACGGCGTCAAAGAGGCGGTGGCCGTGCTTCGTGTCTGCCGGCAGCTTCTGGATCTTGTCGACGACCGCCACCTGCAGGAAGGGTCCGGGAAGGGTCCGGGAAGGGTCCGGGAAGGGTCCGGGCGGGCGCGCCTCCTCCAAAAGAGGCGGCAGCTCGCCTACAGGAAGAGGGCCCGGGAAGGGTCAGGCCAGGGCCAGGGAGCCGCCGCCGCCTCTCCCGCCCTTTCATGCCACCCCGTGCCGCGACGCGACGCGGCCGAAGACGACGTGGCGGTAGTCGAAGTGGCTGATTGTGGCGCCGCCGAGGCTCTGCGTCGTTGCCTTTGTGGTGATGAAGAACTGCGAGCCGTTACGGTGCGGCACGTGCGCGCGCGCCTAAGGAAAGGTCAGGGAAACTTCGCCACACACGCGAGGAGGTGAGGCAGGGGCCAGGCAGCCCTCGCGACTCCGCGTCTAGAAGATGTGTTAGTGTGTGTGCGTGTGTGTGTGTGTGTGCGTGTGTGTGTGTGTGTGTGTGTGTGTGTGTGTGTGTGTGTGTGTGTGTGTGTGTGTGTGTGTGTGTGTGTGTGTGTGCGTGCGTGTGTGTGCGCGCGTGTGTGTGTGTGCGCGTGTGTGCGGCGCGCCTCTGCCTCACGGTGGCGCATCGGAGGAGTACCCGCCATCGAGAGCAAGTACCTGAATGAGTCAATGACGGCGGGTGTGAGATTGGACGAATGAAGGAGGAGGGCCCGCCATCCGAGAGGAGGTACTTTTCGTTGTGCTTGAACTCAAAGCTCTCGTCCTCGAAGGCCTCGCCGTAGATGGAGTCGTTGCCGCTGGCGGAGGCAGAGGCGGGAGGAGAGTGAGCCAGAGGGGAGGGGAGGGGAGGGGAGGGGAGGGGAGGGGAGGGGAGGGGGGGGGGGGAGGAGAGGAGAGGAGAGGAGAGAGGAGGCGAGCGCGGGCGCGGGCCACACACACGCCTGCCGTCGCCGTTCACAATGTCGCCCCCCTGGACGAACATGCCGTTCCAGAGCTCGAGCATCCTAGCCGGGCTTCCAGAGAGGGCTCCTAGACGGCTCCTAGCCGGTTCCAAGAAGGTGCTCCAGAGCTCGATCTCTCCTCCCGGTGCCGTCGGCCCCCTCGCGGATGAACTTCGGAGGCTCATCGTCGAG